TTTTCTACGACAGTTTTCTTGATCTTTTGAAGAACACGTACAAAAACGAGATGGAATTGCATCAAACTTTACACGTTTGCGTCTAGCAACAAATTCGATTTCTGATGGCTTAAAATGTATCTACAAAAAAATCACAAACATGCTGTAATTCTAACAATATATTGCATTATTATATGTTTATCTTTTGAAGTACAAAATTAGAACATATTGCACATTGCTACTAACCTCGCAAAGTTTTTGAGAACTACTAGGTGACCAGTTCTTGCTTCTTCCAACTGTAGCAATCTATTTTCTCTTTAAACTTTCATCATGCGGATATCTTACCAATGCATAGCCTTGATCACTTCTGTTTGAACAATTGTATGCAGTGCAACTTGATGGCATGGTGCCTGTGTAATATAAATACAATAAATTATTCGATTAAGAATTTTGTGTGTCACCAAATAACTGTTCACAAACTAACAGTAAATATATATAACCAACTTCTAAATATTTATCTCTTATATAATAAAAGTTACTTTTAGCTAATAAATACTTAATCATTCAATTTATAACAAATTTAAGTATATAATATCAAGTTCAAAACACAATTATTAATATTTAACGATTACTAACCTCATGATCCACCAACATCTGTCAATGCACTGGCGTCGCATGTCAAAATCTGCACATATTGATGCCAGCCAATCGCGGCATAGCTAGTCACATGACCAAGTTGGCGATTCTCTTTCCTAGAGGTTCTTTACACTGTATGACACAGTGGTCTAGTTTCCACCAAAACCCTCAATTCGGTTCCACTCCAGATCAAATTTAGTGTTCCGTTTCCACTGGAAGTAGAATAGAAGTGAGAAAAATTTATATTTTAGTAGAGCCAACTTAAAACTCGCTTGTGTAAATATAAACAGACATAACTTGAAAAGAATATAATCCGAGAAACTTCTAATTGACTCCGCGGAAATGATGCAATCATATATTTTATCTTTTTATTTTCAACTTGCATCGACTTCTTAACAAGACCTGACATAATGCAAACTTAATAAAAAATAGAAGTTGACATTATTTAGTCTCAAACGTTTCCACCGATTAAAATTGTATGTCAATTCGCTGCCACTCCGATAAAACTTATAGATCTAAGCAAAAGTGAATTGAGCGCAATTCGACGTGTTTCCATCGACTTAAATTTGATTCTATACCGCAGTAGGTGTGAATTAATGGGTGTGTTTAGCCGAAGTTAGCGCTACGTAGCGCTACGTAGCGCTAACTTCGGCTAAACACACCCAATGTTTCGGTGGAAACTAGATCAGTGTAACACAGTGGCTTAGTTTACATCGTCAAAACTTGATACGCGTATTAAGTTTGGTGCGTACCAAAGTCTTTAGTACGGGTGCGTTTACATCAAACGTACTAAAAGAAACAAATAATACGAATATAATTTATGTCGACTGCCTTCTAGCAGTGATAGTTGGATTTAATGTGCTTGAGTTTCTTGTTGCAGATCATGTATAATTTGTTTCAATAAAAAACGTGTATAATGTAGAGTGTATAATTTATTTAAAAAAGGATGAATAAGAACAGTATACAAAAATATATAGCTTGAGCCGTTTTAAAAAAGCCTCTTTTCTCCATATTTTCAACTAATAAATTAAAAATATCTATATGTTTGTGTTTTTTTTCCGTCCAGTAAAACAACAATTTGCTTTTCCAGGCATAATTCCAAAAATGTTTTTGTTTCATCTTCTCCTTAATTTATACCTTTTCTGCAAGACATTTTGATTAGAGAGACTAAAAGATTATAAGTTTATAATTTTAACCTATATCTTTTAATCAACTTATAACTTTAAAATACGTTTCATGCGTTTACATCGTTATTTGTATCACTTGATACGCATATCAGTTTAGTACGATACTCCTGTTTGATACGCTCGTATCAAGTTGATCCGATAGCGTTTACATCGTGCGTACTAAAATATTTAGTACAAATTTGGTACGAATATAGTACTTGATACGCGTATCAATTGCATGATGTAAACTAAGCCAGTGTCGACTTGTAGTTGGAACGCTTTTTAGCTTGACCGGCTCAGTGGTCTCGCGGCCTGAGTGCAGGGGCTGCGAATCCGAAGGTCTCGAATTCGAATCCGCTCATCACCTAAGGATTTTTTCCGGGCCAGTCCCTTTCGAGTTTATCGATTGATCGGTGAACTAAATCGAGACTCCAAAAATTAATTCGAGTGTAATCTCGAATTAATCTACCTCCCACAAGCAGGCGCGTTTTTAAGACCGGTAAAACTTCGGTGCAAGGACAAAGATGAGAGGGCCCTTTAATTAATAATAATAATAATAATAATAATAATA